GTCCCTGCCTCGCGCCGGGCAGCGGCAAGGGGCCCCGAGCGGCGCTGCCGCCGGGCCCGCAGCCCGCCCGTGCCCCGCCAGAAGCGGTGGCGACGGGCACAGGGGCTGCCCGAGCGCTGCGTCCTCCCCYGCGCCCGGGGCGTAGCTCCAGCCGGCTGCGGCGACAGCGGTGGGGCTGCGGCGCTCTGCTCACCTCCGTAGTACTGCCGTGGAAAAGTTAACGTTACAGAGGAACCAGTGCCTGTTTAATGTTTCAGCTCATTTTCCTCAACACAGAGACCATGATTTCGGATGGTGAGGGGGTGAGGTTTGCTAGGGACACGCCACCTGGCTACTGCTTAACGCAGGCAGCAGGACTGCGCCAAGCGCTGGTGGTTGCTGCCCTGCTGCTGCTGGCCTCCCCCTGGCCTTGGCCTCCCCTGGTAGCCCCCTGCTGCTGTTGGATCCCCCATGGCCTTGGTCTCTCCTGGTGGCCCCTGCTGCTGGCCTCCCCCTGRCCTTGGCCTCCCCTGGTGCCACGGGCGGCAGGGCCTCCTGTGGCAGCTCCGCACAAGGCAGCTTGGGAGCCGGMAGGTTGCAGCTCTGCACAGCAAGGCCCTCTCTCGATCTGTGTCCTTCAGTGGTTTCACCTCCTTAGCTGGCCTGTAGTGTGGAGCTTCCAGCTCCTGGAGCAGGAAAGCGGGTCACCCTTATCTGAGATACTGCCTCATCTCCCCGTAGCAGCCGTCTGGTGCAGCGTTAAGCACAAGCACTGAATAAAACCRATTCCTTCTCTTTTCTGTTCTCTCCTTTTCCAGAAGCAGCGCGAAGCTGGTAGCGCCATTGGGATGCTTGGTCTCTAGGCAAAAGCACACGCTTCCTGACCTGCCCTATGACTATGGGGCACTCGAACCTCACATTAATGCGGAAATCATGCAGTTGCACCACAGCAAGCACCAYGCTACCTACGTCAATAACCTGAATGTTGCAGAGGAGAAATACAAAGAGGCGCTCGCAAAAGGTTTGTGTAGTCACAGCGAAGAGATGAAAGGGAAGCTAGTCAAGTTACATGCCATTGAAAAACAGGTCAACTTTTCTTTCTAGGGGAAATTGTTTTAAAAGAAGYTTTTTTCATCTCATTTAAATTTGTGCTTCTCTGTTTTTTTCCTTTTTTTAACAAAATGTTTTAAGGAGAAGGTTGTTATTGTGAGCTTCAGTAGTGATAATATTTAGGACTTAGCTGCAGCTGAAGCAATGAATTCTGCCCTCTTTACTAACGTAAGAAGAAACTTGAAGAAACTCCAGTGATTGCTGTGGATTTCATCTGTGTTTGCAGAAGTAACTGGAACCAAAGACAAGTCAGTAGGAAGGTGCAGTCATTTTGCTGAACAACTTTGTAATGAAAGTATATTAACAAAATCATGTGAAGCAAAACTTTTTAATTGTGTGCCTTCATACCAGATGTTTGGCTGATGCTTTGTTGAGCATCTGTTTTTGTTTCTCTGGGTATGATTGCGACTGAAGGTACAAAGAATGCACATTAGTAACTCCTCATTTTGACTCATAGGTATGTTTCTGAATGGAAAAAAAATGAAGCTATTTTGCATACAAAGCAGCGGTGCTAAAGCAGTGGAACCCTTTAGAGATGTRAGGCACCAGGGTATTCTATAGGGAACGTGACTTGTGGAGGGGACGAAGCACGGGCTGTCTGGTCTTAGGTGACATAAGGGTACCTGTATGCAGAGCTGGAAGCAAGGGTTGGGATTACATGTCATCTACTCGTACAGTCCCTGGAAACTTCTCGGTGCAGTTGTGGTCTTCGTTTTTCTCTTGAAGTTAAAAGTCTGCCTGGCCTGAGGAGAGAGGGAGAGTTTGCCAGTGTCCAGCAGGCGTATTTGGAGGAGAGGTTTCTGGTGCAAAGTTCTGAGCGAGGGGGGCATTTTGCTCATAGATATACTTGCTGTATTCATTGACCTCTTCTGGATCACAGTCTGTTTGCCCTGTAAATATTTTAAGTTTAAAAAGTCCTAACTCACGAATCAATAGCACTAACGGGCAAGCAGTGGTGGTGTTCTGTAGTACTAACACCAGGAAGCTTATGGGTGCTGCTCCTTGAAACATTTTGGTCATCTAGTTGCTTTATCCCACTATGGGGTGGCAGTACAATCTTATATACCTCATGATAGGCACAATACTGGGACACCGCATACTGTTAAGATGGGATAAACAAAGGTAGTTTGAAATCTCTCCTGTGGTTTGTGGCAGTCACTATTTAAAATAGGGATAACAACATAGTTTTTGTTTTTTGTATAGACATTTTACAGGCTTGTAAGATCTAGCAGATTTAGGAGAGTGGTGGGTGTCTAGCTGTTACTTAGCTGTTAGTGTGGCAATGTTGTTTTTATTATTACTTTAATGTTATTTTTAACATTCTGCRTCTTTAGGTGATGTTACAGCTCAAGTGTCTCTTCAGCCTGCACTTAAGTTCAATGGTGGGGGCCATATCAATCACACCATCTTCTGGACAAACCTTTCTCCTAATGGAGGAGGAGAGCCTAAAGGTTAGTGCTTTTTACTGAGGTTTATTGAGTCAGTTTTAATTGACTGATTTTTATTGAATATTTCTCTCTTTGGAAATATCAAAGGGATCTTCATTTTTCAGAGTTAATTTTGAGGTGAAAGGCAAAATATGAAAATATTCCTGTGCTAAATATTTTTAGTTTTTAACATTGACTCTCTGTACACTGCAAAATAGTTKTCTGTTGCTGTAAGTTGTCCTCTCTATACTCGTAAGAAAAAATAGCTACCCAGAGCTGTGCTGAGAAAGGTGTGACCTACATGTGCTCAGCTCACGTGGAGATCCAGAGCTCGTGAAGTGCCCAGGGGATGGAGTTGCATTAAGTGGCCACTCGCTGCAGTCTGTTCCAGCCRTCAGTGTGTGGTTTGGGACATGAGCTTGGAGCCCTCTGCACTTGGCAGCCTGAGGGCTGACCCGGCCGAGTGAGAGACCTGCAGCTGAGGGTTCCTCTCAGATCTCTGCTGCCCAATCCCTGCTGACCGGGAAGTGATGTGTGTGTGTTGGTGGAACTTCCCAGGAACAAGTATTTTCATGGAGTTTGGGGCAGTTAATCACCCAGAAGTGTCATAGTTGTTACTGCAAGAAGAGGAACTCTTTCATTCTTAGGCTAATCAGGTCAAGAGTAGCTGTGCTAATAGTTTGGCCTAGAATCATCCCGCTGCTGTTCTACAGTCTAATCCAATAGCAGCAGAAACATCTGAGGTATTGTGTGAACGAGCAAATCTGACTTTGGCAGAGATCGTYTGCTAAGGTGATAATATAAAAATGAAGTCATGACACATTGCAAAGACTTTATGCTTTGTTCTGAGCAGTCATAAGCTTTCTGTCAATAAAGAAGCCAGTGAGTCTAAAATAACTCCTTTTGGTTTGAACTGAATTATCTAAGGCTTTTGCTGGAAACCTGCTAAAGCCTGTCTGAAAAGCACTGGCAACAATCACCAGGAGATTGACTTTCAAAATCTTTGTCTGAGGATTGGAGGAATAAAGAATGAGTTGCATGCTTCAGCATAGCACTCTGTGAAGAATTCTTGCATTGTAAGACACACGGCTAACTAGCAGCACAGACACCCTCAGCTCTAACATAAACATTGATGTAGCTGGAAAGCAAAAGTGTGCTAGGATGCRGGGGAGAGAAGATGGTCTGAAAGACTCTGCGCATTCCCTGAAATGGATTTGAAGGACACCCAAATACTGCTTCGCACTGAGACAAAGAAACCCCGGACATTCTGATTTGCCCCTCTAGGTATACAGGTCATATTCACTTTCTTGCCTTTTTTTTTACCCCTAGACCTYCTCTGTGGTGTTCCTTTGTCTTACAGGCAGGAATGTAAACTCCCGAGTGTCCTGCTGATAGCACTGTGGTGGTGTCTCCGATAACGACATCCTTGATTACCGCCCTAAAGTCTTTCCTGTTTTCTTGCTCTGATAAGCACATCAGGACAGAACTGTTAGTTAATGATACGACTACCCTGTCTGGAGACTTCCTTCCCACAGATGCCCAATGCTTCTACCTCTCTTTATCTGCAGGTGATGTTTGGCAATGGAAGAAGGTCAAGTAGCCGGTGTTCTCTGATGTCTTGTCTATTATTTTGTTTTTTAAAGGCGAATTGATGGAAGCCATCAAACGGGACTTCGGTTCCTTTGCGAACTTCAAGGAGAAGCTGACAGCTGTATCAGTTGGTGTCCAGGGATCAGGTTGGGGATGGCTTGGCTATAACAAGGAGCAGGGGCGCCTACAAATTGCAGCCTGTGCAAATCAAGACCCTCTGCAAGGAACAACAGGTCAGGTTTCTCCCTTTCCCTGACCTTCTGTCTTTGAAGATTTCAGAGACAAATGTGTCTGATTCAAAAGGCCCTTTCAGATAACTGATGATAAAAAAAAAAAAATCACTGTATAGCTCACTAGAGCTATCTGAATATCTTTCTAGCAAAAAAAGGAAAAACAAGTTGTGCTTTCAAAACAGCATTTGCAAAGAAGGGCTTACAAATCATGCAGAGAGCAGGGATAACTGTCTAGTCAAAGAGAAGATAGATGAGGTGTATTGTGGAAGCTGTCTAAGGCAGTAGTTTTAGCTGAGGTTCTTTCAAACTCTACACCTGTGCAGCTTACCTGTGAGGAGTTTTGGGAAGTTTAAGCTTCCTTCCCTTAAATTGTTTCCTCTGATAGAGGAGCTCTTCATAGAACTGTTTCCATAGGCCAGACAACAGGAGAGAAGAAGGTGTGTTTAACTCTTCTTGTTTTGAAGTGGGCTAAACTTAGAATGGTAGGCTTATAACATGCTTCCTTTGGCRGCTAAACAGTTAAATGGAGATAATTCTTACGTCTGAGCAAACAGAATATTGCTGGCCATTCTCTTTAAAAGATTTTTTTCTTTCAGTCAAGTCACATATGCTGATGGCAGGGCAGTGAGAATCCTGTCCTTGGTGACAGATATCTTTAAAACACGCTCCATGGAGTTCATAGAGAGTGCCCAGGGATACCATGTATTATTCAGATCTATTGTCAATATCTATAGCAGTCCATGAATAGCTTATTTACAAACTTAGAAAATTTATCCTTTTTTTTTTTTTTTCTTTTAATAGGTCTTATTCCTTTGCTAGGAATTGATGTATGGGAACATGCTTATTATCTTCAGTACAAAAATGTTCGACCTGATTACCTGAAAGCCATCTGGAATGTGATCAACTGGGAGAATATATCTTCAAGATACGCGTCCTGCAAAAAGTAGAGTGGGATTCTTGTGCAGACTACTGAAATGGCCTCACTTCTGCTTTAACACCACTCTTGTAGTAGTGTTTGTGGCTTACAAATGAATTGCTCCACTGCAGAAAATACTTAGCTCATCCAGCAAAAGCATTTCATAATCAAGCRAAGTGTGTGCCTGTCTGTTTGAGAGGGATATTGACTTAGATTTTTGAAGCTTTAAACTTGTGCGACAGAGATACTTCAGGTAATCTTTTCCACTGCCTATAGAAACATAACTGACCTTTCTCAAGGTTAATGAGGTAATGGGTTTCCTTGTTGCACTTAAATATCTAAGTAGAAACATGTACTTGATGTTGCTATAATCAAATAAAACTCAGAAGAAGAATCTTACTTCACTGTTTAAAACTGGCTATTTTTGTTCATAGTTGGTCCGGTTGCTTGTTTTACAGGTGGCTGGAGAGTAGCTTTTCTGATTTGATATATTACAAGAACGTTCCTACATGTAAATGTGGATGTAAGAGAAGGGGGGTATTGCAGTGCCTTCTGAACAGACTTGACTGCCTTCTGTTATCAGAAGAATTCATGTTTTGGACACTCCCCTCTCCTGGACCCATTACACGAAATCTTCATTTTTTTTTTTGCACCGACCCACAAACTTTTGAAGTGCTGCTTTGAGAGAGACATTACAGCGTCCTGGGAACTTAGTGACAGAATGCAGTACTCATTGCATGGTAGTCGTAAGCACATCTTAAAACACACTTAAGCTTTAGAAGCTGATGAGGTGCAACCTTCCAGTATAAATTGCCCCTGCTTTGCTTTGTTTCTGAAGCAGTTACAAATTATACTTAATGCTTGAGGCAGAATGAAATGCTTGAAAAGTGGAAAAGTTAGTGTTTTGTTTACTCTGCTACTTCTATCTTAAATATTTCAGACTGGGTGGTCCGGAGCTTACACAATGCCTTGTACGTAAGTTACCTTGGGCTTGCTCAGTATGTGACTTTAAACACAGATGGATTCTGCAAGGAACAAGGGAACGACTTCATACTTCAGAATTGCAGTCCAGTACTGTAAGGTTAAGGGGAGAACTGTTTTTTAATACGGGAAATAAGTGCATTTCATCAGGTGATGCAGGAGAACTACTACCAGGTAATCTCATGGTCTCTATCCAAAATTTTAACTAGTGAGATGTGTCTGTTGCAAATAGAAGTGAGTTGCATATGATGAATGACTACGTGAAAATAGTTAAAAAAAAAAAAAAAAAAAAAAAAACCAGCCCGCATGAAAATTCTGTGGATCCAAGCTCCCCAAATTAGAAGCAATCGTCAGTACCTCCCGCCTTGAGACGGCAATATACCCTGCCATTAAAGCAGAGGGGAGAA